CTTCTTGAATAGCATGCTTCATGACCATTAACCTTATGTGGTTCGATCGTTCCCACTTTTCCATCTCCATCTTGTCATCAGAGATGCTCTTATCAGTAAGTACAGTAGGTTGATCGACCCGTAACGCAAGGTCCATGTCCATGACTCCGAGAACAATCATTATGTTCTCTTGCTTTGCCCTGAAGTTTGTGCCATTTAGCATTGTAATTGAATTGGCAGCAGAACCTGAAACTGAATTAGAGAACGATTATTATGAATAGTTCACATGAATATTTTTAATATGCAAATAATAATATTCTCAAATAGTGTTAGGGCCCATCACAAGATACCTAGCACAACATCAATATCTAGTATTTGGATAAAAATATTGACTTGTAAGTGGTACTTTTGGCATAGTGATCAAACATTGACAATAAAACAATGTGCCAATCAATAAACCTTTCTTTGAATCGATTTATTGATCACACATTAAACCAAATAATTGTTACATGTTTATCATCATAGGTGCACGTGTATTCGACTAAATATTGACATTCCTTTGGGCCGACCAATATTCTCATGAATAACATATGCACAAATACATTTTAATATTCTAAGTTAATTAATTTCCACAAGAGATGTTGCTTAGCAACATATTGCTTCAATTAACTAACTTTCGAACATTATATCTCTTAAAAGATTCCTTAGTACCAAAATTTGAAAAAAGAGAATCACCAATTTTGCACATTTGATTTAGTTTTAAACTTTAGGGGCCTTAGGATTAATAATTCAAAACTTTAAGGGGAAAAATTAATTAATTCCAAACTTTAGGGGTTGAAATTAATAAACTTGAAACTTTAGGGACCACAATTAATTAATTCAAAACTTTAGAGGATCAATTAGAACAAATTTAAAACTTTAGGGGCCAAAAATTGACCAATTCAAAACTTTAAGGATCAAAATTCGAAATTTTGAAACTTTGGAGGTCAATTTGAATTAATTAAAAACTTTTGGGGGCCAATTATAATTAATAATTAAAGTTTGAGGGCTTTAATTATAAAATTCAAAACTTTAATGGCCCAAATTAATTAATTTTTAAACCTTAGGGACTGAATTATTAAATCCAAAACTTAAAGATCCAAACTTGAATATACCTTAAATGTTAGGGACTGAAACCTTAATTTTATAACCCTAACTCTAATTGCAAGTAGGGGCCTCAAGTTATCCAATTTACATGTGAGGTCTCCGTCCCCAAAATTTACATAAATTGAAAACCTAAAAAAAGTTCCTTGGCGCCGCCCGAAGCAATAGCGCCAGCCCATGGGCAATGTCGGCTGTGCTGTAGGAGCGCAAAGCTGCTGCCTAGCAGCTCGAGTTGTTGCAGCCGGCTGCTAGCCCTGCCGACAACAACCCGATTTTTTTTAATCCCAAAAATCTGAATCTAAAACCAAAAATCCATAATCTGAAATATTCTCAACCATTAATCTGAATAATGAAAGATAATAACGAAAAATATACCGAATAGTTTTCCAATTCAACAAAACTAAATCCAAAACTGTCAAATCTGAAAAGTTCATAAAATATTGCAAGAATCAAATAAATTATTCGATTCTTAATGATTCAACATGAAAAGATTCTGATATCACTTGTAGGATAATTTATTATCTTAAATCACTGGATCTTTCATGTTAAATCATCAAGAAATTCAAGAATTATAGTGGAAGCGTACCTGATTAAGACATAGTTATTTGCAATAATTGAATCCTGCGGTATAGTCTTTCAAATCTACACGCAGCCCATACTTCTCTCTGGCGATGGGCGACAGAATAGAATGAGCAAAAGATACGTGTGATTTGGAAACCATAACTGTATTTATATAACGATACCCTTTGACCTAATTCGGCCCATCATAGAATTAGGACTTGTGCTCGATCTCAACACACATATAAACCCACACTTTAATTGGATGCATAACGGTCCAAAATCGAAGCCTCATTAGATCACTTAAATTGGGATCAACTGAATTCGATAACATTTAATTTAGTACACAATTATTCACACATACAAGCCCACATGATCAATTAAAAATTCCTTACAAATATCACTTTCAATTTCAATATCCCTTTCATCTTGAGCAACCACACCGATATTATTACATTTCTTTCTATCAATATTTTGATCTTTAATAAAAATTGAAGATTTTCTTTTAAAATATCTCTCCATAACCGTTACACCGAATTGAATACTACATAAATAAAAATTTACAGTGTCATTAAAAATGTATATGAGAAATAAATAGTTTTAATTTAAAGAAAATCAAACAAATGCTAAAATGGAGTGTTAATAACTTCGAATAGATTATAGCGTAGAAATCTCGTTTCTCGAATGAAAACAAAAACCCAGTAAAGTGGAGCTCTTGATGCCAAATTATTGAGCTTAAAACCTAAAATAAAAAAAAATAAAAAAATAAAAAAAAAAAATAAATAAATAAATAAATAAATTTCTCCAGATTTCGGTGGTCTTCTCTTTCTGGCCAAATCCAGATTTTTCTACATATGACGGTGAACTTAAAAGCTTCCATATGCATAGGGTTAACGGTAGTGGTAAGAAAGAGAGGAGCAATTTGCAAGTGCCTTAGCGGTAAGAGAGGCAGGGAGAAAGTGACATTTTGATTTAGGGAGCACAATTAAATTTGGTACAAATCAGACACTTTGTTCTTGATTTTCGAATGATTAATACTTGATCCGAAAAATGCAGATCTACATTTAAAAAATATTTTTTCATTAATATTTTGTTCATCATTTTCATCCATTTGATTTCGAACAGTCATTTTATTAATATTTTGATCATTATAAGAAAATGCATATTTAAATTTAAAAAATTTACAGTGTATTTGATACAAACAATCAATTCAAGTAATTGTTAGGAAAAAAGTATTACCAGTATTCAGTACTAATAATCAATCAAATACACACAATTCGTTAAATATAAGTTAAATTGAATATAATTAGTTGAGGCACATTCTATAGACGCAAATAGAATATGAGAAAATGCAAATTTAAGTTCTAATTAATTGAAAATTTGATTGGAAGGTGAAAATTTGTTGTAAATGTGATAATTTGTAGAAAAATTATAGACAAATTTTAATAACTTAGAAGTGTTAAGATTTTGGTAAAATGTGTGAGAGAGGTGGTAAGATAGAGCAAGAGATAAGAGAAAATTTCAAATTTATTATAATTTTGTACTGTTTGGTGGGGATTAAAATCGAATTTTTAGTAAATTTTGATATAAGTTAAAAAGTTATTAATACCATGAAATATATTATTAAAATTAATTGTTGTGTGTGTGTGCGCGCGCGCGCCAGTGGAGAGAGGAGTAAGTTTAATTCCTTCAAGTTTTTCTCCCTTTTTTGTTAATATGAAAAACATAAAAAAAAAATAAAATTTGGGTGGTTGACCATTTTGCCCAAGTGTGCCTCCTGCCCTGCCTATATGTCCATTTAACTTTCATCGTAATATTTTTCAGGGTTCCAGGCAACAGAAGGTAGCCTTTCAACAACGTTAACTTACAGTAGCAGCAAATTTATGTGCTGTTACCTCAATAAAAATGTGAAAAGAATGAGGAATAACGAGGCGATCTCTGCTTTCCCTTTCAATGAGTTAAGATAACTATTTATGGGCATTTATCTGTTGCAAAATACCGATCTTAGCGTTCGACTAGAAACTTTTGAAATCTACATTTTAAAACGACGTGGCTACCTACATTTTTACCTGCTGCCTGCACGGCTTTTCGACATATCCATTTGTTGGATGAAATTGTGATATGGGGGGTGGAGTTCGTTAAGAAATGAAGTAAAATTGTTATTTAATCAAACCGATGTTATGAAACCTCTAAGTTTAGTCGCATAATCCACATTGAAAGAGTTTTTAGTGTTTCATTTCTAAACAATTCATTTTTCCTCAAATTTCTACAGATTTTTGGAATTCACAATTTTTATCAAATTTTCAACCATATATTTCATAAACTTTTATCCGAATCTTCTAAAAATCCAATTTTTATCCAAATCAAACTTGGGCTAACTCTTCAAAATTGAACCAAGCATCAGTACCCAATAATTACATAATCTCCCAACTAAAAGAAGCTTAACAAAACTTGGCATCATCAAACTACTAAAGTACCTAGTCATTCATCATCCACATCAACCTAAGAACATACCAGAAAAGAAAGCATAAAAGATAACAAAACAATTCAAATTGCCCCTAGAAAAGCAGAACAAAAAAAAAAACTATTGGGCGATTTTAAGGTGAAATTTTTTGGATGATCAGAAAATATCAAGAATTTCCAAGATGTAATTGTTGCAGAGTGGGCAATTCCCTTTTTGAAAACAAAGCTCCCTTGAACATAGCCTGCAAAATGTATGTCCACAATGTATAAATGCTGCTCCCTTGTGTCTAACCATGCATATGCTACAATTGTTGTACTCTCCACCACCGCCACCGCGGTCGTCATCCTCATCTTCATCGTCATCATCCTCGTCCTCTTCCATCACATAAGCCGATCCTTCTGTCTCGGCCAGAAGGTCCATCAAAGACATCCTCACGGGTTTCTCCTCCGCTCCTCCCCCATCATCGTTCTCATCTTCATTTTTGCTTTCGCCCTTCGCAGAAATGGGAGTTTGATCAGAATCGTCATCTTCATGTCCATCTAGACCCATATTTCATAAACTTTTATCTGAATGTTCTAAAAATCTAATTTTTATCCAAATCAAACTTGGGCTAACTCTTCAAAATTGAACCAAGCATTAGTACCCAATAATTACATTATCTCCCAACTAAAAGAAGCATAACAAAACTTGGCATCATCAAACTAGTAAAGTACCTAGTCATTCATCATCCACATCAACCTAAGAACATACCAGAAAAGAAAGCATAAAAGATAACAAAACAATTTAAAATGCCACTAGAAAAGCAGAACAAAAAATAAAACTATTGGGTGATTTTGAGGTGAAATTTTTTGGATAATCAGAAAATATCAAGAATTTCCAAGATGTAATTGTTGCAGAGTGGGCAATTCCCTTTTTGAAAACAAAGCTCCCTTGAACATAGCCTGCAAAATGTATGTCCACAATGTATAAATGCTGCTCCCTTGTGTCTAACCATGCATATGCTACAATTGTTGTACTCTCCACCACCGCCACCGCGGTCGTCATCCTCATCTTCATCGTCATCATCCTCGTCCTCTTCCATCACATAAGCGGATCCTTCTGTCTCGGCCAGAAGGTCCATCAAAGACATCCTCACGGGCTTCTCCTCCGCTCCTCCCCCATCATCGTTCTCATCTTCATTTTTGCTTTCGCCCTTCGCAGAAATGGGAGTTTGATCAGAATCGTCATCTTCATGTCCATCTAGACCCCTTGATCTTCTCATTGTTAAAGAATTCGTGTGCTCAAATTTTCCGCTAGCTCTGCTCATTTTTCTCTCCATTGCTCGTCTCATATTTCTCTCCACTGTCTGGCTCACATTTCTCTGCAAACTCGGAGTCCTGTTTCCTCGATTTGACATCAATTCCATGTCCACATCCGGCACTGCCGAAATATCCGGTGGAGCCGACTCGCCCGAGTTGGAGGAGAATCGGGTCGAGGCACGACGCGCCATCAACCGATTCCGATTACTACTCGTATCATTGGCGTGCTGCCGAGGATTGATGGGGACGTCGGAGGTGGGGATGTGCATGGTGGATGTCCAGGCGGAGCCGGAGCGACTGCGGCGGAGGCGGAGCTTCTCCCTTAAATGCCGCCAGCTCATTTTACTGTCCTTGCCATATTCATACGTTGGGTCGTCACCTATTACGTCAAAAAGTAACCTGTTCGATCCGGATCTCTTCGGTGATTCCGTATTACCGGCGCTCCGACCGCCATCACCACCGGTTTCCATTCTCAAATAAGTTGCCAAAAATGTGATCAAATTGTAAAAGCACTTAAGAAATTGGGAGTTTTTGTCGGGCGAGAAAGAATTGGCAGGGATTAAGCAATAATTAATCAGAAAAGAAAAACAAATGAAAATGAAAATGGGTGATTAATTGTATGAGATCCGAAATTGCTACAGCTTTTGCATGCATGTGTAAGAATGGAAGCAAATATTAGTGCAGTTTGCAAGAAGAGGTGTTATAAACCTCTCTCTTTCTCATTGCCATGCGAGAGAGTGTGTTCAAGAGAGAGGAAAAGGGCGCAATTGGGGCATGGCCGCATGCTACCATTAAATTGCGTGGACAGTTAGCGGTTAGTCATTTCCCGACGGAAAATGTCAACTTAAACGTTAAGAACTATGAATTATTCTTCTCAAACAAGGTAGGCACCCTGCCAATGGGGGACATGTGTCCCCCCGAAAAAATAAGGCCCGTGTGACCCTGTTTATGTAGTAGAACCGAGAAATTATTCCTCTTTATTCGGGTCATATAGGCCCTGGCAGGGGCGGACCCACTTGAGGTCGAGTGGGGTCAGCCGCTCCACTCGATTTTCAAATTTTTGATTTTTCTTGAGGTTTTTTCAGGTTTTTCATGTTTTTTCCTACAATTTTTTGGTTTCGCCCCCACTGAATTTTCATCCTGGGTCCGCTCCTTGGCCCCGGTAATGCCCGGGTCCACTATGGCCACATATAGCCCCCGTTTGACCCCTATTACTTGAAAATGAAAATGGGAGGAATAATATTGTTTAGAAAAATGAGTGGCTGAAAAAAAAAGAAAATTTTTCGATTTACGTGTAATATTATTTTATGGAAGATTGTATGGTTGAAATAGAAAAGAGAAAAATGTAATATAATGTAATTGAATTTAATGGGGATCAAACGTAGGCATAATGTAGCGGGGCTGAAACATTAAATGCTAACATGATACTCGTGTGATGTCATGGTTGAGTTGGAGAAAATTTTTAATGGGATATTTCTACATGCTCTACTTAAATCAAGATATCTCAGATCTCGATCTATTCAAATTACCATATCTTGGTGTTCATGATGGTAAGGGAATAGGTGTACAACGTCCAGGTATCGCTATTTGAATTGATGGTCCTACCGGTGCATGTAGGACTAGCCTATCAAAACTTCTCTCCACTGAGTTGGAGTAAGTGGATATGTTTTATAAAAGTGATTATATCGTATTTGAATTAGTGAATATTTAATTTGCTTTTTTTTGGACAAAATTGCTCTTGCAGTTCTACATTATACGAGTGTTATGTGACCAGTTAATGTTCAAGATATAATTTTTGTTAGCTGAGCACATGAGTGCAACGATGAAATGTTGAAAACTTATATGTCACACTCACAAAGGTTGGAAAGTGCAGGTGAATAATTTATCATACAGTTGCCGAATAAGAGGTTAATGTTTGGCTAAGCTTAAAATGTTAACATATATTAGTAATTTTTCAGGATTTTTGGCGAAAATGATCCAAAACCTATGCCTTTGTATGTCTTTGATCCCTAACTTTTAATTTTTAGCAAAGATATCTTTAACCTATGCTTTGGGTGCCTCAATGGACCTTTAGACATAGTCCATTAGTTCAGTCTATGGCTTTCACATTCATTTTATACCAGGGAAAACTTGGAAGAAAAATTTTTGAGTGACTCACTTGCAAAACTAAAGGCATAGTTTGATCGAATCTATCCCAGAAAGGACTTTTGAGCACCTAAAAGAATAGAGACATCTCCGTCAAAAATTAAAGGTTATGAACCAAAAATGTAACAAGGTTAAAGGCTAGAGAATCTTTGCTACAAAATAATTTATTTATTAATGACTGGACTGTTGTTTTTGTTTCGCGCGGGTTCATCGCTAACAATTAAAAGGGATAAGACGATTGTGTAAAGGACAAACCTCTTGAGACAAAGTCCCAAAAATGGGTGTTCTTTATTGGCGATGACTTTATAATTGGAAATTAAAAACAGAATGCCTCCAAGGAGCGCAAGCACACGAGTTACTGAAAGAAGTGTTTAAATCTAAACTAAGAAATTTAAAATTATATGTTCTCTGTTCGAGAGTTTTTTATTCGAGTTCTTTTTACTCTATGTTTTTTCTTCTTTTTATACTCCCTGAATGATCTTTTGGTGATCAACCGCCTAAAAACTGTTTGATCGTTCTATAACTGCCCACTTTTCTCGTAATAGCCAACTTGTCATGGAACTACCTTTTTTAACTGCTGCTATTAGTCTTTGTCGTTCAACCGTTTTCGATTGAATTCCTTGAATCGTGAAACGTGATAGGGCTGCTTAATAACTGTTTTGATAACCGCGCTTCTTGATAACCACAACACTTTATGTTTGCTAAGACCTTGGGTGACTCAAAGGTTTGGGCGAGAATAGAGTAGCAGTTCTGGGCGACTGCATGGCACTTCATTCGCTCAGATCTTGGGCGATTTGCAAGCTTGGGCGATGGTGTTACCGCGTTCATGGGCTTCCCTATTTGGGCCTTCATCCTAAATTGTCTGATTGGACTTCGTTCTTTGGGCTATCTGATTTGGGGATCCTCCAATTGGGCTTCATTCCTTGGGCCGTTTGATCTGGGCGAAATTTTTATGTGTCAACAATTACTGCCCAATATGGCAGAATTAATACTAATTATTAAATTTTGCCATATTCACTTTTGTGTTTCTAGCAACATTCGAAATTCCCAAAAATTTCAATCATTGTTTTCTTCCATAGCTTTGAAAAGGTGCGACGTTTTGCAAATCGTTATAACCCCCAAATACGCCATTTCACTGCACCATTAAATCACGACTCACTTTTTCGCGTTTCTCTCCCACAATTTATTGTTCATCTCTTTGCTTCCCTACTACGTAACTCTAAAAAAACTCCGTTCCGTCCCTAATGGCTACTTCACAGTCTCAATCTGGCGACTCCTTTAGTTTTGATGACTTTCAGAAACTCCTTAATTGTCCATATATAACTCCGAACTTTCTCGCATCCGCCAATGTCGAACTCAATGAGTTCTACCTAGGTCCTTTCTTCAACAACGCAGAGGCGGTCGAACAAGCGGCGGTGGGCCAGCTGTTTCCTTGTACTCAAGGCCCTCCATTTCTAAACTCTCTGCCGCTGGGGTAATACCTTTGTTTTCCCTCTTGGTTCCATGTCTATTACTTTAAGGGATGTTGGGGCCCTAGTGAATCTGCCACCTTTGGGTGATAACATTTTTCCCGGTATCTTGGTTTCTGGTGGCGCTCCAAAATTTGGTAAAACCCTCACCGAGTCTTATTCAAGCCTGCAAATCCTTCATAACCATTCGAGCGCTGAGCCTTCCCATACTGAGCAAGTGGCCTTTCTTCTAGTTTGGCTTTGTAAATATATTTTGTGTGTGCCAAGCATAAAGCCCTCCCTGAGCTATTTACCCATAGCACACGAATTGGCGCGTGGCAGGCCTCTGAATTTATGTTCTTTCTTTTTGGCTGCCCTCTATAGAGGCATGGCCTCTCTTCAAACTCAATTGAAGAATGGTACATCTCCCACTGGCAGTGGACCTCTTTGGTTCACTCAACTGTGGTTGAGATCCTATTTTCCATTGCTTGGTGCTCCATCAATTTCTCGTTCTTCTGCTAGCTGCTATGGGCTAGCCATTGAGCCCCTGGCTCCTGTAAATATGTTTAGAAGGGATATTTTTTCATTCTTTTATTCTTTGGATTCAATCCCTTCATTCTTTCCTTTTCCTCCCTTTTTGACTCCAGACTATGTGCATCCTCCCGCCATTATAGACAGCGCTAGCAATTCTCTGCTCATTTGGATCCAGTTTTTAACTTGGAGGGAGTTATTTCATGATATTTTGACTAGGACCAATGCCAAGGCAGGGGTAGAAATATATACTCCCCAATTTTTTGCTCGTCAACTTGGTTTCGGCCAAACCTAGCCTGTTCCTCCTTGCTATTCAAGGAACTTGATAGACCGCTTCCATATTATTAATAAGGCGGAGGCAGAGGTTATAAATGCTCACAATCTTCTTTTGACGAGCCATTTTCATTAGCTCCCTTCAATTCTAGCCATGTCATCCATCCCCTTTTTGAACAACTCTGACCGTCAGTGAAGCGCAGATTGTTTGCGACAGATGCCAATCGTGCCTTTCATTCACTGGACCAACCGAGCATTTCTTCCCCTCCTCCTGTTTTAGTCATTCCTTTGCCCATCCGGAGTCCTTCTCCTCCTCGTCACGCTAAACAGTCTGCTCATCCATCTTCTTCTCTCCCTGCCAAGCCTACTGCAGCCAAGAGTGCCCCCAGTCGTAAACGGTCAGCCTCAGCATCTCCCATTCTGGAGGATGATGTTGATGATGATGATGATACCCCTCTTATCATCAGGAGGATGGTAATTAAATTGGTTTACTCGCAAGCATACTTTTCCATACTTGAAGCTTTTCTGTGTGCTGATGATTTATTTGGTCTTCTCAGAAAAGTTTAGCCTCTCCTTTAAAGGTTTTGGCATCGACAGCTCCTGCTCCATTATCCTCCGCTGAGGCTGCCTCATCCAAACCAGCTGATGATGGGACTACGTTTAAAGAGACATCTTCAGTCACAGAATCCTCATCACAACCAATGGACGAGCCACCTTCCTCCCAGGGCGTCAACCCCCCAAATATTGAAGCAGAAGGTAATTCAGTTTTTTGATGCTTTACCTTTGCTTGTGCTATTGGTTTCTGATTTGTTGCTTTTGAGTTCTGCAAATGCTCCTATGAGTTTGCCCGTTGTGGCAACATCTTCTCGCTCAGACAAGGGGAAGTCCTCGCGAATGATGGAGCCACAGGTGGCAGCCTTGGCTGAGGATATGCCATCTTCCAAGATTATTGATGAGGTAATCTTTGCTTCACTTTTATTTCCATCTTGTTCATTGTAGTGAGAATCTTCAATATTGGCAATTTTCTTTGCAGGATGCTAATAAGATTGTGCATTCCATCCAAGACTTGTTCG